AGAAATTGCGTTTAACTGCAAACAAAYTTCTCCTAAAGAAATTTATTCAAAAATTTAAATAAATAGTTAGTTTAGAACTTTATGCAAGCGTTAAAAAGAATAATTTAGGGCTACTAATTGCACTAACAGTAATATAACACTGTCTATGTYACTATCAGCACTCCAAAAAATATGTTAAAATAATCGTGACTTTTAGTTGAAAAAGAATTTCACGAATATTTCAACTATAAAATGCACATTTACGAATTTATTTTTGTTTAGAAAACCAATAGTTAGCAAAAAAACATATAACATATTATAGTTAAGGTCTAAAGTAACACTTTAGCTGCGTTATGCTTCACGTTATTCTTGAAGMGTTCTTAGTAACACAATTTAACAGTATTTTAGCGACCAAAGCAGTCGAAAAATTAAATTTTTTTGTATAGTTTAAAATAGGTCGGAATAATATGCACATTTTTTCCGAATATATAGTGTAATTAAGAAGAATATTGACAGGTTRAAATTGTTAGCAAATACTGCAGTATTTTCTACCAGCTGATCTAATTTGACTTGGACTAACAAAAAAATATATTYTCAACATTTTAATACCATACTTTTWTCCACCTTCAAAATGGGATTCTTTTGAGTCAATATAAACATGCCAATTCTTAAATGATTTTTTTACAGAGTAGAAGTTGGTCCAAATTTTTAGAATAATTGGAAGCGCAAGAGGGATTCAGTTCTAACGAACAAGTCTAATTTTCTAGAATTTAACCAAGCGTCTGAAGAGAGTTCGCAGGGTCAACATGAAGTCTAATTGCATAAAATTATATAAGGAAGCAGTAATTTACATACCATAAAAACTCGGTAAACCCCTTCTGGATACCCTGTTATAAATGTAAGCTTCAACCGGGATGTTCTTCAGAATCTTCGGCGATTGTTGGTTTTTTTTCGATTTCGACTCATTTTTGGACCGCTATTCGCTAGATTATTGGATAGTTCATCTTCATAAACCCATAAACTGTCGTCAGTGATGCGCTTGATGAACATAAAATTCTCAACCACGTTGTCAAGCAACTCTTTTGCGACCTATTCTCGACATAATTTTGAAAATGATCGCATAAGTACAGTTTTCGATTACTTTGATACCTTCACTATCGTTGTTTTTTCTGTATGAAACGTCAGCTCTTGAATCTCTTCAGGTTGCTCTTCGTCCAACAGATCTTGCATAAGCTGTGTTTTGTACGCTTTCAATTAAAGATCTCGACGTAAAATGCACCAACTCGTTTTATGTGTCGATCCAAGTTGCTTCGAACGGCGCCGAATCGACACTCCACGGTCTGTGTGTACACTCTCAGCTACGGCTGCTTTATATTCTTCCATGTATGCTGGATGTGGTCTATTCGGTCAAATATTATCCAATAATGAGTGCTCAGTCTCAATATGGGTGATGGTGTTGCCAATAGTAMGCTCACTAGGACGATTAGGTTGACCATAAGTTGAGCGAAGCGCGCGAAAAACATTCTTTACGTAACGTGAGTATTCGTTCATTCTAATCGTTGTTCAAGCGTAAGCCTTTCCATGATGAAATGCCAGACAATACTGAACAAAAATAAACATAACAGCTTGACACGACTCAATTGTCCGCTATCAAAAAACAAAGCTATTGAAAAAAGTAATTCTACTTTGATCACTCGTTAGAAGAAAAAACTTTTAGTTTGCGTCTCCGCGCAGTTTATATGCACCASTCCGGGTCAAATTTGATCAGATGGTATTATCTATCTATTCTACCGTTACTTGAAAAGGTATAAGTAGTTGCATTAAAATAAAATAAATCTCACATAAATACAATAAATACAATAAAACAACACAAAACACACATATGTTGATGCACGCTATATAAAATATTTGCCGTTATAAAAACACACCCAACACAACRTATCCTTAGAGCGCCAACACACCTAACCACACATATACTAACACACACGCACTGAAATGCGTACTAATATTTCTAACACAAACGTAGGCGCTTCGACTACTCAAAGAAATGACTATGAATATGCGAAAAATATGAAGCAACAAGCAAAGTAAAGCAACAAATTTACAAACAACAAAAACAAGATTATTTATATAATATTTTCCATGCAATTGCGTTTGTACGCCACTTATGAACGCTTGGTACACAAACACACCTTACCTAAAATAATGAAAATCTAAAAAATTTCAACACTTTTCACTTGGAAATTTTTACTAAACTCTAAATATCGCTCGTTTTCGTCGTTCGCTCTCTATCTCTCTCTTTTTCGCTTTCGCAAACTATAACCCCCACTCTCGCTGTCTTTGTACGAATATTTGCTCTCTCTCTCTCTCTCACTCACTATGTTTTTATACTCTTTCAATTACAATGCAAAAGCGTAAAAATTGTGTGTGTTCACGTCGTGATTTTGTGCAGATTTGTCCATTTGTTTTCCTAATTCCGAAGTAATATTTTGATTTCTATTTTAATGTGAGCATATTTTTAAATAAGCACAAAGAAGGATAAATTGTTGAGCAGCTGCAAACGTTTGCGAAAGCGCTCCAACAGTCCAACGAACACACTAACACGMACACAGAGAAACAGATTCGGTCAAGCAAATGATTTTCACGCTTACTTCGAGGCCTCGAAATTTATTAAATAAAGATTTTTGAAATTTTTTGGAAAATCTCAACTATGTGGCAACACCAAGTGTACCTCGCATTGAAACCGTAAATAATTTTTTCAAAAAAAAAAAACCAAAAAAAATTAAAAATTTTGAAAGCATTGATAAATAATATTTTAAAATAAATACTAAAATTAATTCTAAAAAGAAACATAAAAACAGTAAATTAAACCAAAAGAAAAAACAGAAAAAAGAGAAAAGAAAGTTCGAAAATAACAAACCGCACACACAGAACCTTGTAACTCCCAACCAACTAACCTAATGATAGTGCGACGTTTTACAGTCGCCTTCTTTCAAATTTTCACGAAAGGCCTCGTCGAGTTACTCGCTGAAATTGGACCCGCCCGGCAAGGGAAAGATCAAGGCCAAGCGAAAGCCGTTGAGCACACCGGCCTCGCCGTCGCGCGTACGCAGCGAACCGCAATGCACCTGTATGTCGGCCGAACAATACGCACGCCTACGGACCGATCCACGTGTACGAGGTGAGGATCCACAACTACCCCCACTACCACTAAACTACCTCCCCCACTCTACTCTACTCTCTACTTTAGAACTATATGCAACTAATCAATACCCTTTAGAATTGTACCAAAATACCAAAACAAAAAAGAAAATGTTAGATTCGTTAAATTTGCCTAACGACATTTGATATACAACTATTATTTGCATGCAGCCACAGACATACTTATAGCTAAAACACATAGCACACAAAATTTATATAGTGTCACTTTAAATGACCCACAAATTTATCAGATATATATATCTTTACAGCCTTTTGAATTCCATTATTTATTTAATTATTTTTATTCATTACTAATTTCTTTCTTTAAAATACTAAAAGATGTAACTTAAGGAACTTAATAGTTATTTTTGCAATTAACATTTCTTTGTAATGCCTTAAAAGAATGGGGAGCCCTAGCATATGGTGCCACATTTAAACTAGACCAGCAAAAAAAAGAAAATAAAACCCTCACGTATTTTAACAAAAATTGTTGGTATGATCTTCAWGTTCCAAGAGACCAACTGCAAGTTGCTCCCGAGCCAATACAAACA